CAGGGGGTCCTGTGTACTCCCTCTTGCCAAGCAGGAGCCCCACCCAATGGCTTTCTCCAAACCAGGGTGTTCTCTCCGATCCTGCCCCCTCCCCGCTGGAAGAAGCCCCCGGCCGCATGCGCCCCACAGGGAGCCGGTCTCCCTGCCCTCACCCTCCTGGGGCCAGGGCGCAGTGGCCATCCAGCGCTGCCACAGCCCCAGCGTGGCCGCGGGCCATCGACCAGGCCACCCTGGCCAGTGCACAGTGTACGTCTCCTCGCTCCTTCATCGGGTTGTTGTTGCACATTCCAGGACATCAGTATTTTAACGGTCTCGAAGTGCCTTTCTATCGTAGTTTCTGGGTTGTTTTTATTTTCCTCCTGTTGGGCTCCATCGCTGTTAGCATAGCGTTTAAGGACTGCAGAAGTAAGAGATAAGCTAACAACTATAACACTATATTCCTCCAGGGGAGAGGAAGTTTATTAAGAAAACAATAAAGTGAAGTTGAAGTAAGTTCCTGTTTCAGTTCATGGTGGTGGTGAGGGCTGCAAGGAGCCCGAGGTGGAGACAAAGGCAGGGGACAGCGGGGTGCTGGTGATGGGCATGGATGTCCCCACACTCCCGGTCACACTGGTGAAGCCCTGCCAGGGTCTGTGGGATGAGCTGTGGGTGGGGACAGCTCAGTTTGTACCCACCATGGCCCCTTGCTGCCGCACCCTGCAGCCGTCCCACAGTGGGAGAAGGGTGACAGCACCAAGCTCCCGGCACTCCTAGGGTACAGAGCCAGAGGTATCCATGCACTCCGGCCAAGAGCATCTGAACCCACCACAAAAATAGCTCCCACAGCCTCCCCGGGTGCCATTTGAGCCCTGGCAGCCTTTGGTGCCCTGGGAACACCCCTTCCTCCCCAGCTGCCTCCCCCCTCCTCCTCCGCAAGGCAAAACCCAGCCCCTCGCAGGGGCTGATTCCCGCTGGGGCAGTGGGCAGAAGTGGGCAAGTCCCCGCTCCCTTGCCGGGGCGCAGAGCAGCCAGGCCAGGTGCTGGAGGACACAGCATTTATTGACTACCTATAAGTTAAGGGTGGGGGACGTGGGGTGCAGGGAGGGCAGGAGTCATGTCTCGGCTTTCCACCCCTTCTTCTCATCCTTGGCCTGGATGCGGAGCTCCTCGTCCAGCCGCTCCTTGGCTCTCACCACCTGCAGGACATGGGGATGAAGTGACAGGGCAACACATGCTGCCCCCTGCCCTCTCTGCCTCCTCTGCAGTGATGCCCAGGCTCTACTCCCCCAAATCCCAGGCAGGGAAGGTGCTGAGGGCAGGGCTGGGGGTTCTTTGCTCACCTTGGACTGCAGGTAGAAGGAGCCTCCTACTGATTTGTCGTTCACTTTGAACAAGTGGTCATAGTTCTGTCAAAGAGGAGTTCCCCATCAGAGCTGTCACCTCTGCCCTCCCCAGCCCCAAACCCCGGTGGCCTCCTGCTCCCTGAGGTCATCCTGGAGGTGACGAGTGCAATCTCAGGGACACAGCAGGCTCTGCCTGATCCCCTGGCAGGTTCCCCCACTCCCATACGGGTGCCTCTGAGAAGCCCACATCCCCTTCCCCGAGCAGCACCGCTGGGCAAACACAGGGGCTGAGCCTGGGAGCCTGCTAATGGCTGCGAGCTGCCGGCACACTCCTCCAGCTGGGGCAAGGAATCCTCAAACTGGGGTTAACTGGACTCCGGACAGCACCCACACTCCCTCCCAGGACCAGTCGTCACCCCCACAGCACCCCACACTGGGCTCTCTCCAGCTCTGAAGGAGCCTGTACCTTCTGGATCTCCTCCGCGTTGAGGTTTGAGACATTAAGGATCTGCTGAGCTTCCTGGAGGCTGATGCCAATGATCCTGGAGGGTGGGGGGCCCCCGGGGCGCGGGGGAGCCTCTGCCGCAGCTCGCGTCACTGCCCAGAGAGACCAAGGGTGTGAGTTCCCTTCCTGCACTCTTCCCCTGGGGATCCCCAGGCTTCGGGTGGGAGCTGGGCAACAAAGCCCGTGGGCTCCAAGGTGCCTGCATCCCAGTTTCCCCCCTCAGCCCTCCTCATGCTGTCTCCAGGCCATGGGGGGCACCCAGGCGAGGTCCCCAGTGGTGGGAAGATGGCAGGAACCAGGGGGAGCACCCATTTGCTGTTGGTGATGCAGGCAGGCAGAGGCAGGCAGGGCAAGGGCTACCGTGTCCTGGAGGACCATTCCACTCTGCCCCTGGGGGCTGCCGGGGTGTCTCAGAGCCTGGCAGCGGTGCTGGGTGCGGGCTGCGGCCTGGGATGGCTGCTGGAAGCCCAGCCCCAGCTGAAACGCCATTAGGCTGGTG